CATATGCATATGCATGTGCATATCAATACTTTTTAAGGTGAGGTCCCATCTTCTAGGATCAGGTATTCTAAATAAAATGAATCCCAAAGTAATGCTCATATTTATAAATAGTCTAGGACTGCCGAGAAAGGGCAGCACAGAATATCTTTAAGATCACGGTGCGTTCACAATAGCGCTGTAACTAATTATTAAAATAAAATATAAACCCGCATCAAAAGAATGAAAGAAATTCTTGTAGTTTTTTTAAACTCATTGAAAAAACATTTCACTTTTGGCAATAAGAAGCTTGGGTTCGCCAAGGATTGTTGCTTCAGGGATGAAAGTCAACAATTTTATATTTTTTAGTTGTTTTAAAACATATAAATTCTTTAGTTCTATTACCTAGATTCTGTGTCACTGTGATAGTCTTGCAGAATCAGACTTCGGTACTTATTCACTGCCTATCCACTTTCTTAACTGCTACTTGTCTATGGAACTGAAGTGGGTATGTCACAATAATCCTCAAAGGATGCGGTGACAAGTTCCCAACCCATCTTAAAATTTAATCTAATCTAGTTATATTAGAATATTATTCTTCTCTTAGTCGCTATTGATTTTAGATCTGGTAAATAAGCACTCGCTACTTATTCAGAGGCCCCTTAAAATAATTTACAAATCATTATATATTTCGTTATAGCATGTTTATATAATATATTGGTAATTTGTAATGTAATGTTATTGGACTTTATGATTCTAAAATTTATTGTTAGGCTTAATTTAAAGCGATTCAATAAAGACATATTGTAAAAAAAAAATCTATGGTGAACATGATCAGGTATTTGACTTTTGACACATTACTTTTATGTCCTTCATGAAAGTAAAGATGAACTGAACTCAATTTATATGCAAATTTCCTTTTACAAATAAGGACCTAATAGGTGTACTATATGCCAAATATAGTGTGATATAGCTTATATGCATATGTTTATACACATATTTCTTTTAAGATATATTACGCTTTTTTTTCCATACATATGGGGAGCATTGTCTGCTGTTTGCCTTTTGACATATATTGTTTAATTTTTTTTGTCAAAGATCAAGTAAAGATTAAATAAAGTGAGGATTAAGTAAATTTGAATAGTATGTATATTTTGCTATTATGGACTTGAGTTGTCATTAGCTACTAAAGCTTTTATATCTTAATACCTTATTATTAATTTAATATATTTACATTCACCTAAACAACGATAATCTATTGCTGTTTTTTTCTTTAAATACTCTTAAGATATATGACACTATTTATTATTTTTCAGAAAATAGGTTAATTATCAGTTGTTATCTTAAGCAGTTAGCTTATAGTATCATTTTACAATATAAAACTCGGCTACCTGTATTTAAAAAAAAGCTTCAATTTTAACTAACGCTAATTCCTCTTTAGATATTATATTATAAATAATATATATTGCCTTCAAATTTTGGACAGTTGTTAAAACTGTTTCGGATTTTTTGTACGGCCACACAACGGACCAATATGTATAAGTACATTTTTAGGAACGTCATTTTAACTTAATCTAGCCTAGACTGTTACTTTGTAAGATTTTAATAACTTCGATTATAAGAACTTACTATTATAACAAACTTTCTGAACTAACATCGTTAATAAAGGGCATCTATTAATATTAAATATTAATAAATACTGTAAATATATCTACAGTAGACATTTTATCTCCATTTATTAAAGTTTAGCTATTAATTGATGTCTGTCAGTTTATAAGAATATAAAAACAATTACTAATAAAAACCCTATTAGTTATTATTTAATCTATTAATATAATAATTCATTCATAATATCGCATCTTATTAATATTACTTTCTTGTTTTTTATATTAATTATAGAATTAAGCCATTATTACGCCTAATAATTAAATCTAAATTGATATCACTTATCACACAATCTATCACACAATCTTATAGTTTTTTCTATAATAACAATCAGAGTTTTCTACTAATACTTACAGCAGGGTCACACGAAAGTAGTTAGGAATGGTTCCCAACAGATATCTTCAAGTTCCTTTAGCGTATAAGCTATATTTTTAATATTTTATTTTTTTAAAATTAAATTTAGGCTGAATATAAAACTAATTCGCGCTGTCTAGGTAAGTTCAAAGTATCAAAATAGACAAATCCATGTTCTTATGTTGTTTAGATAATTTTTACATTTTTGTATTTGTATATTTTCGAGTCTTAGCTGTCTATCATTGTAATATCTTTGATTTTTATACAAAAACCATTTTAAAATCATTCTATTTGAATTCAATTTATATTGTGTATACCTTTCAATCAAAGCCCACAAAAAACCTTTAAAATCAGCATTTAGTTTAGCCTGTGTATTCCTTTTGATTAAAGGTCGCAAAACATAGATGTTAGTAAGAATCTTTTACGGTTATCTTAAAAATTTATGTCAAAACTTAGCAAGTTTTTCCTCAGCAATATTATTATTCCCCGAAAAATACTAAGATACTTTGATGCATTGCTACCATAGACTCTCTGAAAAGTACTACTGCTATACTATATAAGTTGTAATATTTAAGTTGGAACTTATACTTATTCCTTTCTTTTTAACCTCTATACTGTGTTACCCTTCGTGACTGCAACGCGATTGTGGTTGGCTTCATTGATCCGGATGGTTTTTATACAGAATATATATTGGATCAAAAACTGATCCATTTCATCAAGATTTAATTTAAGTATTATGTTGAGGTTTTTCTGAGTTAGTGCAACTGACCACTTTTACTCTTTCTTAGCTGGAGAGTTTTTACAGAGGCCCTTCCTTCTCACTGACTGATTTACATATTCTTCAAAAGTTTCGTGATTATTCGACGACTAATCTAAAATCTACATATGGCCCTGTACGGTTCTGCTCTGAGATTAGATAGTGCTAAGTAGGACAGCCTATAAGATTTTCACGTACTGCTTCAGGGCTCTGTCGCTTATATATTTTTTAACCGGGTCTATTCTGAGGTCTCTTAGCATGTCATTCGTGCGGATGTACCAAGGCAATTTGAAGTGTTTTTGGAGAGTTGGCAGCTTTACTATACGCAAGACACCCGTAGAGAAGTGCCGCTCTGATTATCTGGCTGCAGATAATCGCTTATCAAACTTGATTTCCATATATTTAGTGCTGTCCTCCCAATTTATCGCAATGTCAGCACCTCTCATTCTCGAAGGATGCTGCATGTTTTTACGATTTATAAACAGTACCATAGTTTTCCCGTTGTTAATTTTTATTTTCCATTTTTGGAAGATATATGATATAGGTGTATTACATATTGTCGTAAAATATTAGACTATTGGATTTAATTTTAAACAAAGCCTCTTTATAGAATGGAAGTTTTAATCTGTTAAAATTTGTGATCGATAATCGATTAAATTTTAAACAAAACTTGTTTATAAGTTCTAATCGGTTAACATTTTCTGATTCTTAATAACTTTATATAAAGAGATGTTTATATTTGGAGGAACCAAAAATATCATTTCTAATTTTTTATTTGTTATATTTTGTTTTATTTGTTTGTTATTATATTATTTTTTAATTAATCTTAATACTTTATTCTTCTACTTAACATATTGGAAAATCGCAGTTTTGTAGTGGTTTGGGTAGATGTGTTGGATTAGTGTTTGAAATAACGTTCCTTAAACAGTTCGCGAATACTCGAATTTGAACATTTAGATCAAACACTTGATATATTGAGAAAGGCTTAAAGACTCCAAGAGATTCATGCTTATTGAACAGCAAATCTGCTCTGTTATTTTATTTTATTATTTTATTTTCTTTTTATTTTTTTATGAATACACTTTATCTCAATAGATGGAAAGAGTTGAGCACTTGTAGACAGACCAAACTCATATTGCCGAAACCGTGGGTCAAGAAAGCGATGAAAGTGCTTAGCTGGCTGACCTCACTAATTACTGAACATGGCAACTTCAAGTATCATCTCAAAAAGATAACTCTTGCTGAGGAAGACACTTGCAGACTATGTCTAGAAGAAAAGGAGACAGGGGTGCATACATTGCGCCAATGTCCAGCACTGGCAAGTAAGAGGAAGACTGTCTTTGGACACCATTGGATTGGTGATGACTTGGCAGGCAACCTCAAGCTAAATGAGGTGCTTTCATTAACAAGAAATGTAGTTATGCGAATGGAAGACGCTCCAGCGTTAACTCAATAACGACATCCGAGAATAGAAGGACTTCGGCTAATCCTTCACTTCAGTGGGGCCACTTGTTGGGACGTTAGGACAGCGCACCGTCATTTTATATTTTTTTAATTAATTGAATTTTTGGGCTGAGCATACAGCTGTTTCGAGTATTGCCAAATACTCATCATCAGGTGTCTTGGAAATTATTCTTGTATTTAATTATTCGTAAATAATTTTTTGAGACTGCAAGTACCAGAAATCGAACTCGGGTGTTGCCAAACTTGAAGCTCAGTTCCGAGAATGAAAAAATTTTTGTTTTAAAATCTTTATATGAAATGTAACTGAAGTTATAAAAACAGTTATGAGTAAGATGTGGTTGACTCAATAAATGCAAAATGTCTATGAGTACTACGGAAGGTGAAATGTGTAAGTGATAGTGGAAGTCACAGACAAATTTATCTTATCTACTTTTAATTCTAAGTAGAACGATATTTTCGGCTACTCGATCGTTATGACAACAAACAACAGGCAATCAGATTGGAGCACACTTTATCTTAACATTTCTGGCAGAATTTAGGTTGTCATATAATTTTCCTTCACGATGTGTTAATACACAAGCGCCAGACTTATAAACTTCAGAGACTTTTTTCCAATTTTATTAATTGATTACGTTAGTCTTTCATATGAACTTTATTTTTATATTTTTATATGCATTTTGAGCAATGCTGCAACCGGCAATTTTTTATTTACACATTCGCAAATATGTATGAATGCAAATATAAACATTGCTTGCGCATTTCTCAGATACATTCTCACACTTACCCATTTGTATCTGAATCCACACACTTGCGAGTGTGTGTGGTGGGTTCAAAGTTCTAGTTTCAGTCGGGAGGGAGTGTGCGAAATTGTGGCTAAAGTATTCGATTTCAGTGCTTTTCTTGCTGGTGAGATATTTTTTGTTTACACTTTTTTAAAACCGAAGATAATTGTTGTAAAAACTCATGTTTACAGCGTTACTTGGCAAACATGACGGAGATGTACATGTACTTCTACGACGATCGCTATTCAAAAGCAAGCAAAACAATCCCAATTGAGAAGAATTTTCAAAGTATTTGAAGACGTACGAGGAACGGCAGTTGGAAAATTTTTCGAAATGATATTCTGCTGCTTGACGTACACCAGTGAAGCGTTTTGTTTTGTTGACCAAGTCATATGATTTTGTTGATTTGCTATTGAGTTAAATGTTGGTGGGGGAACTTGCTAATCGCATTTTTTGCCTACTGTTATTTAATTGTATCTTTTCCTATTTCGTTATGTTGTAATTGAAGTCAAATGTAGCGAGCGTAGATAACGTGTACAGAAAAAAGCACTGTAAAACCAGAAGTCGCAAGCGGCCGTAGTAGCATGAGTGGCGACGGGTTGTATCAAGAGCTCTCTTTCAAAATTTATTTCTGGTACCTCTACAATTTCGTAGATACTTTTGTAGGCGTTCGAATACAAGTTTTCATTTAGTAATCGCTCGACTGCGGAGCAATCAAGTTGTTTTAAGATAATTCGAATGAATTTCGCGTAATTGTGTCAACATTTTTGTATTGAAAAAAAAAAATCCAATTGTACTGAGAAAAAGAAAATCACTTTTGGCTCTTGTTTTGATTTAATAATTATTTAATTGTATTGTGACTTTTGTTGAATAAAACAAACTAGTTCTTATACATTGAAATCGGGAAAAAAACTACTTAAGCGCAATTCATTTTATTGAAAAGACCTTGCGAATCTATTTAATTCAAAACAAACTAAGTAAAAGAAACAAAATAATATAAATAATAATAACAAAATAAAAAGAACATAACAACAAATTGTGCAAATAAATATTGTTGAAGGTTTATTTCGATTGCCAGTATTCCGACATAATTGTAAGTTTCAAACATCACATATGTTAACACAGATACGAGTACTTAACCCAAGAAAAATAACCGATATCTAGTATTCCACACGACTCACTAATTTAAATTTGAATATTTCACATATACACAAGATATATACAAGATTTACTGAGACTTCTTCAATGGAAACCTTGGATTTAATTAAATCAATTTTATTTGCTTAACGCTAACCACTCTTTGAAATGATGTTTGAGATTTTTTTTATAAAAATTTGAGGCCTTCGAATAAGTCGTTAGTGTACGAAATAAAGTGCTTCATTTTATTACTTAATTATCAAATTAGCATTATTTATTGTCTTTTAACATTAAAAATATCTTAGTGCCAAAAAAGCTTGAATTTTGTAGGTTTCAAATAGAGTTTTCCGAGCAAGAAGGATAAAAAGAAGGAAAGAAAAGAAAACAAGGAAAATGAGAAATAGATTTTTAATATGATCTCCTATAAAAAATTTCTTCCTATTATGATATAAATATATTATTATGTTGAGAATAGTTAAGTCAGTGCACTTGAGCACTTTTACTCTCTATTAACTGTGAGGTTTCTGCATAACCCCTCTCTAACCCTTGACGGGATTATTGTTTATCACTTCATCAGACTAAACAATAATTGACCTCAGATCTGCATACCTCCCCGAGGAGCCTGTAACCATTCTGAGATTCGATATACATATATATATTTCTTTTTGATATAAAAGAAACATATATGTATATTAAAATTTTTTTATTTTAAAAATTTAATTTTAAAAAATATTTTACCGGTACACACATAGGTATCTCAAATCATCTGTATAAAAATTATATATACATTTATATATATATTTTTAAAAATGTTTATTTTAAAACAATATTTACCGGCACATACATACATGTCTGAAACGATCTTGACCTAAATTTTAATATATACCATATTTTCGGAACATATTTAAGGGAATATAACAACGAAGTCAATTGTATTTTTTTATATAAACACTCGTCTACAATCTAATTTTGAAAATAATATAAAAATACAAACTGAAATGCTTTTCTTATCTCCTGTACAGTTACGCAAGTATTGTTTTCTTCTACGAAAGCTGATAAAAATTTGTTTGAGTTCCATGTACTTCTGAGACACAACCAATTGCTGGAAGCAAACATAGGCGACTAGAATAGAGTAGAATAATTTGGTCGTTACCTTCAGAAATTTGTTTTTATAACACAAATCTTTTATTTACAACTATATTTCATTTTAAAATAAAAGTGTGACTCTACAATAATACCTTTTGCTGGTACATTATCTGTTAGCATATGTTGATAAGAATAAGCATATGTGGCATAACCATGTACTAAATAAACAATAATAAACTATTTACTTAATTCGGGATTCAAGTTACAAAAATATTTGTATTTGTATATAGAATAATTGAAAATTTTCTAATATTTTATGGTCCATCCATTCATCAGGAGTAAATTTGTTCAAAAAAATCTTCTATAATAATAATCTACCATATAGACATATTACAAAGAAATCTCGAAAGTCAAAGACGTATCTAGAACATTTTTGGCGGCAAGGCTAAACAAATATCGTGAATAAGGACAGCTTGAAGTGTGCTCATAAAATTAAATGACAGCAATCATGAATAACATAGTAATGGACTATGGAGTATATTGATATACCATATGTCTTATATTAAAAGAATTCAGAATAAGGTATCTTGAAGAAGCTTATCTAAATGAAGATGAGATTATAACAGTGTTGAACAAACAAAACAAAAATATTTGAATTAAGAACTACGGATCCAACATAATATCTAAAACTAGCAGTGGTATATAGTAAAGATTTATTATACTATAAGACACTAAATATTTTGTTTTTAATGGTCAATGGTGTTAAGATAATTTAGGTACTACATTGCTGAGCAAACCCTGCAAAGTACTTGAAAGCATTAGTTTGATTAGCAATGTTTCAATTAAATTTATTAATAATAAACCGAACTGCATAAGTGTTGTAATTCGAACAGGTGACTTAATATTGATGGTGCTATGCATTTGAATACTTTCCAACATTATTGTCTTACTAAGAGAAAATTGTTAAGACAGTCGTTTGACTCAATGACCAGTACTTCACGTTAAATAAGTTTGGCCGTTATATAGTAAACATTTGTTTGTTACAGAAGTTTATTGAAAATTCTCCAGATCAGAGGTCTCTCTGATATCCAGCAAAATAACAATTGGCACAAATCGCCAAATTTGAAATGCCAAGAATTGTGCGGTTCGGCTTTATTGTGATCTGTTTTATGTAAGAATATATATGAATTATGTATATGTAGCTAAATCCTATGTTCAAAAAGGCTAAAAGTATTGTAGATGGGTGAAAATTATGAATATAAGTTAGCCAATGAAATCATTGAGGAATTCTTGTTTGAT